GTAACAAAAAAATATGAAAGTGAAGGTATTTACTAAGCTGTAAAGTTAATCTATAATTAAAATCTCAAGTGCTCGAGTGGGGCATGAGAATTACTTTTAATGTGTACATTTGCAGAAAATTGCATACCCCGAAGTATAGTGGCATCTTTCACTCATGACATATTCATCAAAGGTTGTCAAGTTAACTTCAAGATAGATGGAGTTGATGATGTTGAGATCAGCACTTTGTATCCTGATGAAGGATTCAGAAGCTTGGAGGATTGCTACGAGGACTTTGCTCATATGATTGACGACAAGATTCAGAAAGAGGAACATAAAATTACGAGCACAAAGTCTGTAGTGGAAGCAGTGCCAATCACAGCTTCCTGTGGATAAGAATCACCTGCTCTAAAATGTTTTAAATTCGTTGCTATTTACCAACTACTGGCCTTTGGTGAGGTGGAAACATATATGGACTTTTTATGTTCAAGTTATTTGGAAGACCGTATTACCTACAATATTATCCTATAGTATTTTCCTCTGTTTTGGTGTCATATTTTTAAGATTTAAGTCAGAAACAACTATACTAGTGTCCGTACATGTTCTTCAATAATTTTCTCCTATTTTCTTTCCGACAAAAGATAAAGCAAATAATCATTCTCTAGTAATACCAAGACTTAAGCACTTTATTTAAAATATAGGGGGAAGGGACACCTGTAGGCTAATTTCTATTGAATAAAACATGCAAAGAATTTAATCAATCGATGTAGCTGTGCTGTGACCCCACAATTACTTTGATTTACGCAATTAATTGATAGCAATGTAATAGCCCCCTTGCATGCTTGGTATCCGTCAGTCAAATAGTATATTTGCAAACAAGATATTAGATTGGAGTGAGAAGTTGCAAACTAAATGAATAAACTAAAGGAAAATGATACTTGAACAACCATTTTTGACAACATTTAGACACGCGCACACGTGTCAAAATCTGAGTGGTGCAGTTGGAAAAATTAAATGAAAATGGACCACTCAGATTTTGACACGTGTGCGCGTGTCTAAATGTTGTCAAAAATGGTTGTTCAAGTGTCATTTTCCTTTAGTTTATTCATTTAGTTTGCAACTTCTCACTCCAATCTAATATCTTGTTTGCAAATATACTATTTGACTGACGGATACCAAGCATGCAAGGGGGCTATTACATTGCTATCAATTAATTGCGTAAATCAAAGTAATTGTGGGGTCACAGCACAGCTACATCGATTGATTAAATTCTTTGCATGTTTTATTCAATAGAAATTAGCCTACAGGTGTCCCTTCCCCCTATATTTTAAATAAAGTGCTTAAGTCTTGGTATTACTAGAGAATGATTATTTGCTTTATCTTTTGTCGGAAAGAAAATAGGAGAAAATTATTGAAGAACATGTACGGACACTAGTATAGTTGTTTCTGACTTAAATCTTAAAAATATGACACCAAAACAGAGGAAAATACTATAGGATAATATTGTAGGTAATACGGTCTTCCAAATAACTTGAACATAAAAAGTCCATATATGTTTCCACCTCACCAAAGGCCAGTAGTTGGTAAATAGCAACGAATTTAAAACATTTTAGAGCAGGTGATTCTTATCCACAGGAAGCTGTGATTGGCACTGCTTCCACTACAGACTTTGTGCTCGTAATTTTATGTTCCTCTTTCTGAATCTTGTCGTCAATCATATGAGCAAAGTCCTCGTAGCAATCCTCCAAGCTTCTGAATCCTTCATCAGGATACAAAGTGCTGATCTCAACATCATCAACTCCATCTATCTTGAAGTTAACTTGACAACCTTTGATGAATATGTCATGAGTGAAAGATGCCACGATACTTCGGGGTATGCAATTTTCTGCAAATGTACACATTAAAAGTAATTCTCATGCCCCACTCGAGCACTTGAGATTTTAATTATAGATTAACTTTACAGCTTAGTAAATACCTTCACTTTCATATTTTTTTGTTACATTTCTTTCTCGTATTAAAGTTACTTTGTAGTCAAACTTTGCTGAGTTAGATCATAAAAAAAAGGAGGAATAGACGAATGATTGAACCTGCAGCTGCTGCTAGAAGATCATCTTCTGTTACGGTCACTCTGGGGATTGTGCGGCCAATTTTCATTTCCCACAAAGAAGCAAGTTCATTGATGCTATAGCAGTTGCTAGATGGTCGAAAATGAACATTTTTGTTGACTGTTCTTACATCATCAATAACCTTCATGGTGAACTTTCCAATATCGATGCCATCAACAAAGAAAGCTGCACAGATGGAAAAAAAAAAATGGTGACAACAGTTTAAGGCAATTTGTTGAAAACAACCATGTCTGTAATTGTGATTGCTCTTGTTTAGTTATACCTTTGACGTTACCATGACCATATATTTGCAACTGATCTAAGGGTGGAGGAAGCTGAGATGGGTGGCAATTGTCATAGTAAGGCCAAGAAGCAATGGAATTGCAACAAATATTGGTGTATGGCACCCCAGATTGCTCAACCATGCGCCTAACCAATCGCTTCTCCTTGTACATTGTTAGACCTGGCTCCACTGGATCCGCTCTGTCAACATCATGCCCAAACTCTGAAGCCAAAAACCTCTGCAACATTAATTATAACACATAAGAATTTCTATACTAAATCTTTAACATCTCTTGCTGAAACTAAGGCTGGTCTCTCATCAAAATCACCCTTTATCAATATCACTTTTCACTACTCTTTCTTTTAATAAAAGATGTTAACTTTTTGGTCGTAAACTATCTGTAATATAATTTTGATTTTCATCTCTATTCCAAACTTTAATCTTGTTAAGTCTTTATGTTCAAGAAATGTATTAATACAGTTTCTTTTCGTCCAAAAGTATTAACCTATTTTAATGTGATAAAAAAAATAAATTACGTTGTGTTGGATGTAATCCCGAGTTTTTATCTGTAAAAAGTCTGTCATTTATCACGAAAAAAACACAGTAAACTTCTTAGGACAAGAAAAACTGTTTAAGATAAGAACGAAAATCAACGTTTGTATCAAAACTTTATACACGTAACTCACTAAATGAACAGTTTTTGGTAATTTGTTTCGAAAGTTACAACATATGAAAGAAAAAAACAACCACATAGTAAATGAAACGCACTTGATTCATTATTTTTCTTATTCTTATTCCTGTCATCATCACTATTTTTTACTTTTTGAACTGTAAAAGTGAGGAACTGGTCATTTACTAAATTAGAAAATAGTAAAAAAGTAGTACCTTAATAGTCTTAACAGATTTCATGGCCTCCACCAGTACAAGCTGATCCAGCAAGCTCTTGGCACCGATGGCAGAGATGACAATGTCTATTTCATACTCTTTCAAAATCTTTTCCACAAAGTCCTTGTTATTTATCGTACCCTACCACAAAATACAACACAAGTAATCTTCTATGAAAAGAATGGAACTTGACACATTCTTCTAAACAAGTATTTATTAATGAAAAGAGTTGTAAATTTTCATAATGTGACAACATATTTATATAAAACATTATGACCTGTCTAAAAGAAAGATGATTTAGAAAGAAAAGATAAAGTGTATGTTATGACTTACGTGAATGACAATGGCACCTTTTTCTTGGAAGGTTTTAACAATGGCCTCCTTGGAAGGGACAAGAGGTGGTGGCCTGAGAAGCAAGTAGGTGGGGTGTGCGGTGCGGAGGCTTGCCTCAGCCACAAACTTGCCTATGAAACCCGTTGCTCCGATTATGAGAACACGACCCTTGGTGGCGGTGGGAATGGTTGGTGACGTTACCATGGTTTTGCAGAGGTGTGGTATAATTAATGGGATTGAAGTCAAGTACAACAGAGATTAATGACAATTGTGACATGCAAAAGGAAAACGATTCTAGGTGGTTTATATAGGGAAGTGGGTACGTTAGAATATAGCTAGCTAGAAAAGTAATAATAATTACCAATATTTTTTCACCTACTCTTCAACACGCATGATTCCTTAAACCATACTTCAAAATTTAAGTGGGAATGCCGCGTAGCCATACTCTGCATGCACGGTATCAAATTTTATCAGAGCCTTCTTCCAATCAAACATCGGCCTTCTTCGTTTACTTTCTTCTAACAATTTCTTTAATCTAATTAATCATATTAGGCAAACTATCATTTTTACATTACCTTTACTGTTTTTTTAAGTGTACTTCAACTCCCTATTCTTCAAAGATTAGCTATTTATAATAATGTTTGATATTATACTGCAAAAAATGGATACATACATTTATTTTGCTTTTTAATCCTTTCTTACCACTTTTACTTTTAACTATTTATTTAATCAAAACACTAATTGATATACCAAAATAATAACATCTAAGTATTTTAAAATATAATATTAATTGTAAACACACACGTTTTTCAATTTCAAGTAAAATTACTAAAAGAATTAATATAAATAAACATGGTCTTTCTAAAGAGTAAATTTAAATGAATTACACCAAAATATAAANTTTCAGCAGCCTTAAAATAAAAAGTTCAAAATTATGATATTTATTATTTAGTAGTAACGAAGATGAAAATCTTTCCATTGGTTAGATTATTAATTCATCATAATGGTTTTCTTCATAAAAACATTATCAAATGATGCACATTAATATTTAGGAAGGTCTTCGAAAAGAGTTCTACTATGAAGAGAGAAAGGCTATATTGATGGCAGAAAATAAAATCCCAACTAGCAGGAAAAAAAATATAGAATCGAAGCAATCTAAGGAGTTTGACTAAATTTTTTATTGTTGTAATATTTATAATTCTACTTTTAAAGTCAGTAAAATTTACTAAAATTTGTATACCTTTAAATACCCCCAACAAGTTTTTAATGAGTTGTAAAAATTCTTAATTATATCCTAAAAATAGCATGTATTGTAATCTATGATAACCTTGATTGAATGGTACTAGATTTATTCGTATCATTTAATTAAATGCTATAAAAGTTATTAAGAAAAAATCTTTTAAATAAATGGAGAAGTGGTCCAAGATTATGTTTTTGGTAGAAAAATTTGTCGGATATAGTACGATTCTAGAAGCAAGTTTATTTGCAGGGCCAGTTCCTTACATATGTACGTGAAAGCAGCCGATGACAAAGGAATTAATAACCACAACACCAACCAAACATTTATAAAGTATAGTTTCACTATCATGTGTTTGTTTTGCCATTTGCATGTCATTTTTTCTTTTCTTTGTTCTTGTTAGAGAAAGATGTCTCCAAAGCCAGGTCATCCCTAAAACCATATTTTGCCATCAACCCATCTGCTAAATTTGACCCAATGGTGGAGAAAATTAGGTGATTTGTACGAATTCATCAAGTGTTCAAAGAGTTCAACAATCATCTTGCATTTTCTGTGTAAAATAATCCTCTGTAAAAAAAATTCAAGACAACATAACTATTGGCAATTCCTTCAGAATTGCAAGAATGCACTATGGGGGCAGAAATGTTTAAAGTTATATACATCTTCTTGTCTTCAAGATATAAAATCTATGAGCAGAGAAATTGATCCTTCTCGGTGCTTGTTTCGTCTAAAATCACAAGCTGGATGGTCAGTAAGATACCTATACATCTTCAATACAGTCTACACATCATATACAGGCTACACATCATATACAGGCATCCTTTCTTCAATGGTGCCACGGCAGACAGGGCACCGTTTACATTTTTCGCAGCAGGTGCTGTTATTGACATCGGAAAAAGGCAAAACAGAAAAATTCAATACTTTTTAACACAAGTCCCTCATAACCTATTTGAATGGAAAGAATGAAATAGATTCTTTGCAGATGCAACAAAAACTGGTGGAAATTTCCTCTTTAAAAATTAAAAAGGTTGTGATCCTGTCACTGTCTACTTTCTTCAAATATTGCATATGGGACCATTTGGTTTCAGAAAACGTCTTCTGTTCTTTAATTAATTACTTCTATTTATAAAAGTATCACCTTATTTTTTACTGTTTCTTGTATTCAAAAGTTTGTATAAAAAACAATCAAAACATTTTCTTTTACTATCTGCTTTCACTGCTTTTTATTCAAACTTTTCAAAGCAGAAAATAAAGTAATAATATAATAGCAGAAAGTATTTCCTCAAACTAAACTTCTTGGAATCCCTTTTTCGGGCTTGAGTTTAGAAAAGTTTACTGGAATGGTAGCAGAAGAGTATCAGACTGGAGCAACTGCAATGCAAGAGCTCTTACCTGCAAATAATGTGATGCCTACAAGGAAGGAGGACCACGTTAATCTGCTCTTCGAAGCAAATTCTACATAAGATCTTCTCCTGATTTATTATCATTCAATTTTAAATTTTGTTAGATCCTGATACGCTTGACAGCCATTCCCATTCAAGCACAATTAATGAGCAAAAATAACAAATTCATAACAATAACTTCAGTGCAAGATGTTGTAAACTACTAGCAATAGAAAAAGGGTTCAAAGCCAGTATAATTCCTATAAGCTGATGTCATCTAACTCTTTGTAACTCTACCAAACATGCCTTCAAACATACATGTAATAAAATGATGGATGTTGGATCCCTTACGCAACAAATGCCACACATGATTTTCCTTTTCAGTAGGAGGTTCATATAATGCTAAACTCTAATTAAAGATTATGACAATTGTTACCTAACTATTAAATTACTTCATAAAAAGTTTATAATGTACTAAACTAATTAATTGATTAAACGACCAAGACTTGGTCATCACATGCACATAATGTCAAAAACAATCAATCAAGGTAGAGAACGTTACATTTTGAAGCCTTTCATACTCCTCCTGGCTAAATTTTGTAACTTCTGTTTGCTCACCCAGTGCAGCTTGTAATCTCCAAATCTGCTTGTTATAAAGAACAGTGATATATGAAAAAGATTAAACCTACTTGTGTAAACTAAGGTATTCTTATAAATGACGAAGCAATATCAGAAAAAATACTTAGGTAACCATTTATTTTGACAAAAGGAAATTAATGTCATCACCTCCTCAACCAGATCTGCTCTAGGCATTTTCTTCACTGTATCAGGGGTAAAAGTATTATACCTAAATAGTAAATCAAATGACATATCATTAGAGGAAAGTTTGATTAACATTAGAGACTTGTGAAGATAGCAACAATACAAGGGCAAATATTTAATGTCATCAGAGTCATTTGAGAGTAAAAGAAAAAGAACAAAGCTTATTTTATTGCAAGCAGACTGAAAATTTTGCTAAATTTTTAACAAAAAATTGTTACACTACACAACTCAGGACTTCCAAGAGAAAGGTATGCAAGTATAACTACAGGATTCAAAAGCTGCTCGTAAGCATGGCAAAAAATGACTTATGACGTTAAACACATGTAATTTTAGGGTTTAGGGTAGCGTACTGACCCAGAACTCCCAGAAAAAAAAAGTCTAGCTTCTTCCTCTTTACTTCCTTCATCTATTGACCACCAACCAAGTAACCTGTTGAGAGAGAAAGCGTAGGCAATAAGAAACTTTTTACTGTAAATTCGGCATGGCATCTACCAAAGACAAAATCCTTTTCAAGCCAAAAAGATCCAAATCAAATACCTTGAACCATGTCGAAAGAACCCAAAGCACTCACGAGATTTTGATGCTATAGATGAGTATCTTTCAGGAATATCTCCACTGTAGAGTAAAAGAACTATCTTCTCTATTAATCTATATGCAGCAAATAATACCCCAGCTCCTTGCAACAAAAAAAGTGGCGAAAAAATGACCCAATGTTGCAGATTTTTTGCACTGGATGGCGTTCCCTAAAATTTAAATGAAAAAAGAAAGGTGGAAAAACAATCAAAAACTAAGGAAAGCTACAAATTAAAAGAACATAATGACAAGATTTTTTTTCAAAATTATCATACCTCTAAATGCATAAAAAGAAGTATTTGAAAACCAATGAATGGAATTTTCATGATATGCCCACCAATATCCTGCAGATTGCAGAACCCATTTTGCTCCCTATCTTCATCCGCATAAGTAACTAAGCCTCCTCTACTCATGTCTAGGTATCTTATGGTATTTGACGATGAACATGGTTCTGTGATGTGACAGCCTCCATGTATAGTTGGATTATGCCACTTAGTACAAACAAGAAAGGCAAAGCACTGTGCAATCCTGCCAAAGAATGCATTGATTTTATGAAGGAAAAAGCACGAGACTAAACCAAATTACTAAACATTCGACCATAAGATATTGATCATACCCATAGTTAATAAATAAGTCCCACCAGCCTAGAGCAGCAACATCACCTGCAGGTAATAAAGTTAGTCGCAAAAAGTTTGAGTATCAACCTTAGTCAACAGTAAAGTTTTACAAGGAATGATATCAAAGTAACACAAAACAGCATGAAACCAACATGAAAAAATCAGACATACAGATCACCCTAACTATTCATAGACGCATACCAATGTGATAGGAACACGTCAGAAAATAATTTTTTATTCTTTTCAGTTAAATAAAAACTGTTTGACAGTTATTACTTCAGGATGTAGTATCCATAGTATCTTTGAATTGATTGAAGTACTTTATGGAACAAAACCTACTGTGGAAACTTGTCTCCTTGTACTCTTCAATATTGGACAGATGTCAATATTGACATCTGCGTCAGTGTAAATATGCCTTCCTGTTTCCCAATTTCTCTTTATAGGCCCTTGTTTCTTTACAGATAAATTCATTCATTCAATCTTAGCTTAATTAGAAAGATTCTAAAAATTTGTTCATGACATTTCATCCCATATACTTCACATGAAGCAATTAAATAAACCATTTCCCAGTCTGATAAACCAAAATCAAACATTCTAAGCAATATGTTAAAACGTGTGCATAGAGAAATACATTGCAAATCTGCCATATATATATGCTATAGTGGTCAGAATACCTTATTAGACACATTAAGTAGAATTTATTACACTATATTTTTTTGTTTTTCATATCTGTATATTTAAAAGAGCTGGTACATAAAAATGTAGCAGGAAAAAAATTAGTCAACATCACAAAAATAGACGGTATAGAAACTTAAAACTTACCACATATCTTTAGAAGGGTGAACACTGTGGCAGCAATTAAGAAGACCATGGATATTGAAATCCAGAAGTGCTAGAAAACAAAATTATACAATTTAGTTTTGAACTTTTCAAAAATAAAAAACAAAAGAAAGATAACAATCTACGGAGTGTAACACTTAAAAGAAATATTTGTAGTAGACAAGTCTTGAATAAGGTGATGTCAATTATAAGATGAGAAGAAAATAAAAACAAAAGAAACGTCTCAATGCAAGGAAGCTATCAATGTTGTAAATATTACTTACAGGTCAGTGTTACAAGGCATAGCAAAGGTTAAATATAACAATGTTTTAAACCCAGCATGAGATGTGCAATTCATAGTAGAAAGGCACTTGTGCTTCCCTATACTCTTAAGATATAGAGGCACCAACACTTCCTAACTACAAATATATTCCAATAGTGAAGTTCAATCATTTCTAACACTAGGATCCTCCTAGATTAAAAATAAAGAGAACTCCTTTCAGAATGTGCGTGTGCATTGTACTAGTGCCAATAAGCCACAACGCAGTGGCTATCCATCTCAACCAGGTAGGATTCTTCCATAACATAAACCCACACAAATCACAATAGACTATTTTTCAAAAACTACAGCCATATGTGCAGCACACACACACAAATGGGTAGTAGAATGTTTCTAAAGCATACCACAAAAGACTATTTATAATGTGTGAAATGTGAAATGTGAAATATCATTCAACTTCAACGTTGATCATCGGGCATTGAAATGAACGCCCAAAATGATGTCAACCACCAACAAATAAAAGAATCATTGAAGTGAGAGTCACACACACATCACACTTAATAGACATAAAACGAATAATAGTTAATCCAATGCAAAACAATGACAAAATAAAAAGAAAAGGAAAGGGTTTTTTTAATATTTATTATGATTATATATTCCTTGAAGGTTCTTTGTTTCTTTTACTTACCATAAAGCAAAAACAAAGAGACTTGAACTTTGATTACTAATGCATTTCACCTAAATTTAAGTTTATAAGTATAGCCTACAGCCAAGGCTCCGTAGACAACAAGACTTTGAAAGTATACATATAATCACAATCTTATTGCTGCTACATATTCCCCATCCCTCTATAGAATAACAATAACACTGCAAAATTCACTGAGGATTTGAATATATGTTACTTGAAAAATCATCACAATTGGGAGTCTTAAATTGCCATGAAAAGGCCAGTTGAGATGCTTATTTCAGTAGTTTCATTGAGGATCCTCATTTATTCTGTTACAGATCATATTACAGCTTAATTAATCAATCAGCTAAAGAATAAAATCTTACAGGAAGAGTTTCCCAGACTGCTTCATCCGTCAAATTTTCATCATCCCCGGGCATCAAAGCCCTACACATCCTATGAAAAGACATTTTTGTCAATAAATTATCCATTTGTTACAAGAGCATAAAATAGTATTGCATGTTGCATAATTCATTAATGTTAGGCCCAAACACTACTTCCCATTTCATGCAATGAAGCTTCTCGACCATCAATTAATTAGTTGAAAGTAGACCTAAAAATGCAGGTAACTTTACAAATCACTTCATAAAGTTGAATGTTTATGGTGAATTTATTGCAAACTTTTTTAGTAGTTCCAGCTAATATTACATAAGCCAGAAGACTAAGAATGGGTTAAAATATATCTGCAAGCTCCTTATGAACTACTTGAATATAAATTCTGCTACGAAGATAGATGAGACAAGATAATACCTGATGTTATCAAACAAAACCACCATTTCAAAAAATACCAGGGGCATGAAGACAATCCTTAAATTCATCTCTGCATCATTAAAATGAATAATATTTAATTTCGTAGCATCTTACAATTAATCACTATTAAAAGAAGTATCACACTTTTGGTGTAAAGATACACTGATTAACAAATCCATTTAGCCATGCCACAAGAAATGTTGCCTACCATAACTGCTCCCGAGATGTATACAAAGAAGTAGCTCAAATGCAACAAGTAGTGGAGTTGCTACGAGTGAATGAAAAGGAGCCCACTGCCCATTAACAATTTATTTTTAAGTTCAGTAACAAAACCCTACTACAAGATAAATTTCTAATTTTCCAGAAAATAAGGAAGACTTTTCATGAAGTATATCTTACTCGCCGATCGTGAGGAATCGAAGGAGCAGGCAAGGAAAACCTGCCTCGTGCCACCACAGCATGAAAAAGCCATAGAGGAGAAAATACTTTCCTGTTAAAAAAGATGTTAAAGTATGGCTATGATTGATAAGAATATGTTATACATTCTTAATCTATGTCTTCTTGTCAATAAACAAAAACCTAAGATCTATTACCCAAAACTCCACTCAATAATATTTTAAGACAACATTTGAAGGACTTGCCCATGATTCACGTTGAATGATAAAATGTTTACGTTCAATTCAGTGTTGTGCATGACATAAATTGGCAGCACATAAACGTGAAAGTGACACCCATACATATTCCTATTTACTCAGTTTAACAAATTTGACAGTATTGTTGTTGGTTTGAATCACATGGTACAAGATCTCCGCGGGACAATAAAGCATATCAAATGAAAAAGGAAATGCCATGATTTTATTACTGAGACTAAAAGTTTCATTGAATAAAATCCTGCGCTATCTTGTGCAATCATAATATGAGACATGCATAACAAGAATAATCATTTCATACTCAAAACCACAGACAACTCTGAATCCTTTGATGATTATTCTCATAAGTACAATTTGGTTGGAATCAGTACCCATCAAAATTGAGATATTTAGCGAGGAGATGGCGAATATTTATTGGTAACAATCATAATGCTAATGTATTAGTATTAATTTTTTAAAGCTTTATCAATTATCAGCCTAACTGTAGAAAAACACGTTTGGAGCATAACAAAGTTGAGAAAGGGGGGAAAATTAATTAACACTTTACTAAAGCGATGTACTTTCATCCTTACTAGCTAAATCAACATGGCCAGAACAAGTATGTTCCTTATTATTAAACTTACATATAATTACACATCGAAATTTTTAGTTCTCTCTTTACTTTCGTCTCAAAAACATCAGGGAAAAAAAAGACAGTTTCACATATGGAAAGCAGAAACGAGGGTATCCCAGCTCCCATCCCATTTACAAAATAAAATAAAAAAATAAGTTTGTATAACGCAACAGGAAGACAGTGGCGTATAAGGTAAGCAAGTTTGCATTTCCAAAAGGGAAAAAAACTTATCATGTTCTTCCAATGAATGTCAATTTTTTCCAGAATTACAAAAAAAAAAAAAAAGAACAGCTTGCATTGAAATTCAAAAGGGGGGAAACAAATTAGCACATGGCAATTCATAACACAAATCAACAAAAGGTGGAATTTTGCAGAGACCCTTTGATTCAAATCCACAATTTCTAAACTGGGAAATAAAAGCGAAAGTGTGTGAATGAAGAAAGATAGAACCTACCACCATGTCCATGAGTCAGGAAGGAGATGGTCAAGCTTGAGAACAAGGAGAAGAGTGAAAGAGAAAAGCAAAGCATGAGCTACCAGAGCTTGCAGGGCCTTCGCCACCCTTCTCCAACTCATCACCCTCCTCCGAACCAGCATTTCTCCAAGCAGAAAGCAAAAGCAACAATGGACAAAAGAGACGAACTTTCTGACACACTCACAAAAACAGCAACAGGACCAGAAACTCACGTCTCTCTCTCTCTCTCTATACCAAAACCGAAACTGATGACAAAATATCACAGAGGATGCTACCAAAATTCCTCGGAGGTTGCAAAGAGAGTGACTTGGGAACAGCCTTCAGCTTCTTCCGTTACATAAATCTTTGCCTTTTTTTAAAACAATTTTACTCTCTCTCACTACCTTCTCACTACCTTCTTTTCTACGCAAAAAGAAACGCTAAAGAAACGTTTCTATCCGATGATAGATTAATTTATTATATCTTTATGCTGATGTGACTGAATGGTCGAAAATACCCATCACGTTCAAATGTAAAAGTTCAAAAAGAAAAATAGAAGACTCACCTGGAATTAACATGAATGGAGTTTATATTTATATGTAAAATGCTTTTAAAGGAAAACAAACCCCTAAAACTAAACCGAAGACTCTTTTTTCTGACAAAAAGTGTTTCCAGATTTATTCTGTTGACCGGTTTTGATCTCGTCTAGATATACACAAGATAAATACAGTAAACATAATTATGGATATTTGATTTTTTTAAATATTTCTGCTTTTTTTTCTTCTTTTTACCAGAATATTAAATGTAACAACTCCGTCACATTTGACTTAATTAAATTGAAGAGTAGTTTTTCCATAACTGACTTTATTAGATTATGTGGTCAGTTATAGGTAAATTTCTTGCAACAGAATTGTTACATAGGACTTTAAAATGAATTGCCTTTAAAAAAAGAAACTATTTATTTTTTTTAGAAAAAAAGGAAAAAAGACAGCGTATGGGTCCAACTTGTTTAAACTGATAAACTAACTTTTAAAGGTTTAAATACATTCTTATCATAAATTATTAAATTTGTGTTTTTCTAATCTTTATTTTTTTCTTAATAAGATAGAGACTGGTTTGAACAATAAAATAAAATGTTTTAATATCGCTATATAGATAAAATAAATAAAGTAAAATCGATAATTTATCATAAATAAAATATATATTTAATCAAAGTCCAAACTAGCATTAAATATTGACTCATGAAATGGAGTGGTGGGGATAAGTTTGGTACGAAGAGAAAACTAAGAGTCGGTGACTTGTCCAACTATTCATAAGTGGGATTTGATTTTTATTTTTTTTTAGAGGTTCAATTAGTGAAATGTGATTCCTTATTTATATTTTATTCCTTCTTTCTAATAAATTGAAATGCCATATTTTTTATAAAAAAAACTTTCTCCATGGCTTAAAAGTCATCCATTCTAAATCATAATATTTTTTGAAGGATAACATAAGTGGGTTGTCTTGTTTATTCGCAGTTAGTGTTGAACGTTCCAGCCATACACGTTACCTTAAAAATTGCATTAAGGCTTCAATGGAACATCATTAAAAAAAAATACATGATTGGCTGAGAGGGTCAAATGTATTGGGAAAACCATCTTCTCACGCCTTATCTCTTTTATTGTTAAGGTGTTAGTATCAAAATTTCCTTAAAACTTTGGAAACATTTTATGTTATATGGTACAAGAGCATGAAAAAATATATTTAAATTATTTTTTATTTTCAGTCCTTATTAGAAATTATTGGACATATTAAAATATGTTTTTTAGTCAAAGTATAAAGAGAAAAAGTTTAATTTTGAAAATTACTTTTAGCATTTATACATATTTACATATTAATGTTCTCGAGTCGAATTTAAAATAATATTATTTGAGTTATCATTCCATCTACGTCACATACATGAATCTAAACGAAAAGTATATTTGAAAATTATCTTTCAAGCGTCATTTATTTAAATTCGAAGATTCATCGAAAGATTTATTAAACGTACGTATTTTTGGTTTAGATTATGGTTATAATGGGCACAGAAGAAGATATGTACCATTACATAAGGATTGTTTTGAAAGGTGGGACACCTATTATCAAAATGAAACCTCCCTGTTCACTTCAGAAGGCTAATTAGCCCTCACCGCGAATACGCTACTGTGATGTTTCACTTAACTTTTAATCCCTAGTACCAATATTATGTAAAATGTAGGGACCACCAACCTCTACAACCACTGTTTTAAAAGCAAAAAATTATTTGGTGATAGACCAGTAATAATTATGATTTATGGTGAATTTAAATTTGAAACTATTAGTTTAATTATATATATATATATTTAAGAATGAGTTTTGTAAAAAATGAGATGTGAAAATAGATTAATAGAGAATTTTCAAGTTATAAACAAAAAATAGATTTGAAACAGAGAGCAAACGTCAGAAAATAAATAGTAATTTTTCATAAATTAAATATTTTATTCGAAAGTAGGAAAATATTTTTAAGTCTATTTTCATTAGTTGGTTTGTTGTTTTAATATTTTTCATCCGAAAAACTTAAAATTAAACTTTCGTCTATTTATTAACTCAAATATTTAGTTAGTATTTATAACATCTTTTATTTATATAAACATTATTACAAAAATATCATAAAATTAATAGACTAGAATAATTATTTAAGAAGGTATATAAAATATTCACACAAATAATTATTTATAACACCTAATTATAATTTTAACTCAAGAAAATATTTAATTAGATAAGGACAATTTATACATTTGTACTTTTCATTCTTTCATTGATATCTTATTTTTATGTATTCACACTCACTAGCTGATCATTCAAATTTATATTATCATTTAAATTTATACAACAAGCATAGACAACATAAAAAGTGTAAGTTAATGTTAAAAAAATTACACAAAAGGTTTTATAAAACATCATATATTACATTTCATCCAAAATCAAGCAAACAACATCCTAAACATATCATGGACCTAAACTTACAATCTAAATACAAGTATCAATGTCAAATTATGACGAATTATGCACTTATGGTGGCTTATACTGTTCTACATACATATTACCGATTGGTTTTCACCCTATCACACTCACATGATTAGTTTGTTTCACGTCTTAGGACAAGATAGAGCACCTAGATTAGGACAATGACTCACTCCTCTCTACTTGAGAATAAGTGACCATTAGAGTGTCATGATAACCCCTAAAACTGAGATCCTACATTTATACATACCACGCAAGAAACAACCAACAAGATTTTTCTTTTAAAAACTCTTCTCAAGCCATACTATCATACATACATAACCTTATTCATTACCACCATATATTTCAAGTTATATTATCAAGTATACATTAAAGAATCACAATATTTCTATTCAAATAAAATAGAGAAAAGAAATCATAAAAAGCAACACACATACACACTAGGTGCCTGACACCAGAATGTTGGTGCTTAGTGTTGACCTGCTCGCCCAACGAGTTATTATATGTCGTCTAGCGAAAGCGCAAACAGAGAGTTTTCCCAACTCAGCAAGAAATCTCGCCCAACCTCTGAAACTCACTATCAAACCTCAATATTACTCACCCAATGACCTACCTACTCGCCTAGCTAGTCTACAAAATTATGCAAAAAACTTAATTTGCAGAGAATTTACAAATCCCTTCAAATCTCACATATGTTCTCACTCCTACCCCCCCCATGTATCTACCACTCACAACTCTCCATTTTCTCATTTGGCTACTTTCAACCTTATATTGAACTAATCTAAGTGTTATCTCAACTTACTTTCTATGTTCCCACAACTTTATATAACCAAACAAACCAACTCATTCGAAATTGCTTAAAGTTATTCATTTGGATTCCCTCGTAACAATTTGGTACACTTTAACACTAAACAATTCAAACTAGTCTAAAACCAAACTTTAAACTCAGAGTCTTAGTTCCACAACACAACCCTTATCTCAAATTTCACTTATCAAAATTCCTCATTTAACACTAAACTAAGCCTATAACCCTTACCAATTCACAAATTCTCAATTTAGCATAATCTTTTTGGATATCTAAGTACCTGTACAAGTTTTAAATGACTCCAAAACATATCTTAAACATCAATTATTAAACCAAAGTCTCTCTTATAGAATTTCACCTACCAAAATCCTAATTTATACCAAAAACAACCTCACAACACTTCCTTTTCACTAGCAAAAGATTTTGGATGTCACATTCCTAAAACTTTATTTGCATTTGTCTTAAATTAAAAACTAAAGGAAAAAAGTATAAGTTTACTTATTCTATATAAAAAACTGGTCAGATAACCTTACCGATATCACTGTTATGATCACCTAAATATTTTCTTATTGTCAAAACAATGATTAAGACCTTAGAAATCTTAAAAAAATAAAAGAACAAACTCAAATAATGAGTTTAAGAAAAATAATAAATAAATATATTCTTGAATTATTTTAATATTTAAATAACCAGACTTATTATTTTACCCATTTATATATATTTAAAAGTCCAAATTTAACTATTTGATATATGTATAATTCTGCTTTGAGAAATTTTTATTCGGCACCTGAATTACATCGAATCATGGTTGTTTGTAAAATTTTCATTATCTGAAATCTTTACTTAGTGCATCTCGGTACTACAAAAATGAGGGCATTCAATTAATGCTTTGACATCTCCACCGAAATCATTTATAATAAACCCCTGAACGTGGGCTATACGTCGATATCTTTTGCATTTGTTTTGTAAAAAATATGTCGGATTGGCTTATTGTGTGTAAACAGTAGGGGTTAATTTTTTTAATCGGTTTCGCATAATGCTTGGTCACATATTTATAGTATAAAAAATTATTTGTTTTATAATTTTTTCTTTCTATTTAAAGTATCAGATCGCAATATTTTAGTAAGTTTATTTTTATTTAACTAAATTAGTAACAAAAATTATAGATCTATTTTTTAAAATAACTAATATTCAACATTTATAATTTATAATATTTAAATAATACTAAATTTCAAATAATTAAAATTGTCAAAAAAAATTGAGAACTCATAAAATACTTAGTAATTAAAAAAAATTATCTGTGACTGATGTTGATATCCGCCTATATTTACTATTCACGAGTTGTGGATAACGGGTGTTTAATATCTTCTTATAACAGAGTTTGGTACTTTAACCCCCTACCCCCCAACCGCCTCAAAAAATAAAAACAAATATTTAGTTATATTTTAATTAAGTTAAATTTATTAAAATTAAATTAATAATTTATATTTTATATGTTCAATTTCATTCCCCTTCCCTTTTACCTTTCTCTTCTCTTCTCTTTTCTCCTTTTTTGTCCTTTTTTTTCCCCCTCTTCTCCCCCTCTCTTTTTTTCCCTCATTTGTGAGTCATCCGTGGGTATCCACATGTATCCGCGGATTTTAAAATACTCGCGAGTATTTTTTATGCGAATATCTGTGCGAGTAGCAAGTCGGATAGCGAG